TTTGCGAGGATTTGTGGTCTATCAAATCTAATGTAATGACGGGGACGATCCTGAACATGTTCACAAACTGCAGACTTCCCGATACGTCGGTGCTTCACGTCAGCTATATGTTCTTTAACGCGGGTTTTAATAGATCTTTTTGTTTGTCCTATGTACGAGAGACCGCATTCACAATCCAGCTTGTACACTCCTGCATCTTGTAGAGGGATATGACACTTGACGGATGGTAAAAATTTACCAATCTTCTTCAGCGGCTTGAAGTACGTTTTAATGGAAGCTCGCTTCAAGATGTAGCCAACCTTGTCTGTGACTCCTCTGATATAGGGTAGTACAGCAGACACACGCTCGACTGTGGCTGGCTTCACTCGGTCACTGTGACGTAGGCGCGGGACCCGAAGCTTGTTGTCTTGCAGTACTTGCTCGACGTGCTGAAGCTCGGCGGCCAGATGTTTTCTGTCACAGATCCCTCGTGCTCTCTGAAACAAAGATTTTCCCACGGTAGCTAACTGTGAAGGATGATGGTGAGATTCACCATTTAAATATCGGTTGGTATGGGTATTTTTTCTGTACACAGTATGATCAATAGTGTTATCAGGATTTCGGATGACTAAAACATCTAGAAAAGCTAAAGTATTGTTTGCCTCTAACTCCATTGTGAATTGTATTTTAGGGTTTATGGAATTAAGGTGGTTTAAAAATGCAGTTACTTTGTCAGATGGTAAAATTGTGAAAGTATCGTCTACGTACCGCTTGTAGAATCTTTGATTTACAGGAGCAGTAAGAAGGGCTTTCTCCTCAAAGTCCTCCATGAATATGTCGGCGACTACGGGAGATACAGGTGAGCCCATTGCCACTCCGTCTACTTGCATGTAGAACTCTTCTTTCCACAATAAATAGCCAGATGTGAGGCAGTGTTTGAGTAATACTGCATATTCTGTAGGCATGTTGTTATCTTCTAGCTTTCTAGTAACAATTGAGATGCAGTCTTCAATAGGTAGGCATGTGAATAGTGACTGAACATCAAAACTAACCATAGTTTCATTGTCAGCGAGATGTAGGTCTTTAATCTCACTAACAAATTGGTATGAATCCTTTGTGTGTGCTCTGGTATGTCCTCTTAGTGGTGACAGTATTTTTGCCAAGTGTTGAGCCAACTTATAAGTTGGTGAATCGATCTGGCTTACTATAGGACGTAGTGGAGCGTTTGGTTTGTGTATTTTCGGTAACCCATACAACCTCGGTGGTTTGGCACATGATGGTATTGTCGAATTCACGTCAAGATCTAATTTTTCGGAGTATTTCTTTATTAAATCAGTAATTGTTTTGAGTGTATTAGTTGTAGGGTCTATTTTGACCTTTTTGTATGTACTTACGTCCGATAAAAGTTGTTGTATTTTGAAATTATACTCTGACGTGTCCATTATTACCGTAGCATTTCCTTTATCCGCGCGGAGAATCGTGAGCTCTGGTCTGTTGCGTAAGTTATACAACGCTTTAAATTCGTCTTTGGGAAGATTTAGTTTCGGCGCTGAACTTCGACGTAACAAGGAGGAAATGTCTTGACGTATAGCCTCTAAATCCTCTTTACCGATATTATTCTTAAACAGACAATCCGCAACACTACAGATAATTTCCTCGTACGGGATTTTTTGCGGCGTTATAGCAAAATTTAAGCCTTTCGACAATACTTTTATTGTAGGTTCGTCCAGTGTTTCTTTTGACAAATTATAGACCGTGCGTTGTTTATTGTTTGCGTCTGTGGTCAACGGTTGTTGCGTTTCGTTTCTACGTTGACATGGATGTTTGGCATTTGATTTGATAGTTAATGTTTGGTATTTTTCTATTTGTTTGTCTTTGCATTCATTATATTTCGATATTTCGCGTTTGTTTAAAGTTTCAATGCAATTATTAAAATCAAATGTCGTTAAAACTGTCTTTAACTCACTGGACAAATTGTCTATGGTATTATTTATGATTTGTAAATCGAACCTTTTTTGCTGAATCACCGTTCGTAACAACTTTTTACTTGCCTGATTTAAGATCTTAGCGCTTCCTCGAATGTCCTTTTTAGTAGATATTTTGACGCAAGTAGGAATGAGCTGGTGGTCGCGGCACCGTTTTAGAAAATTCAATGATAATGATTTCTTATATTTACGCGAACACTACACATTTTAAATAAAAGAAAAGCACCCGAAACGTCGGGAATATAAAAGTAGATTAATATACGCGATAAAATCCGTAAAATTAGTTTTATTTAAAATTCAATGATGTTACATATCTTGCGCGCTTGGTCATGAGATCTTCTAATCGGCGAACATATAGCTGACGTGAAGCACCGACGTATCGGGAAGTCTGCAGCTTGTGAACATGTTCAGGATCGTCCCCGTCATTACATTAGATTTGATAGACCACAAATCCTCGCAAAAGAACACCGATTCCTCCCAAGGATGATTCGCGAGGCTATTGAAATTAAAAAACATCCTAATTTCAATAGAGAAGATGGATGGGTGCTGCCATCTGCTTGGGATCCCATAATTAATAAAATCAAATCCAAACCCAAGTATACCACTGCTAGACTTCAAGATACTGTAAGCTCATTCTGCGTAAATCGAACCAAAAATTAATATTAAAAAACTGAAGGTAGCCGGGCTAACTGTGACAGCAGGACGTCAAACAACTCAGTCCCCCGTGACCACGGGTGCTGGAAAGCACCCGAAACGTCGGGATTATAAAAATAAGTTAATATACGCGATAAAATCCGTAAAATTAGTTTTATTTAAAAATATTTTGGCGATTAAATTTTTTTTAGAACTGAATGCAAAACAAGTTTCAGCACCTTCGTATGATTATTTTTACCAATACTGAGGTCTACGTACTTTTATATTTTTAGTTCCCATGACACAAAGTGTCGCCATCTAGTATCGAATCTATTTAATTATATTTAAAAGCCGACGCAGAGATTTTTCTAGAACTACTTTAATAAATTAGGTATAAAATTACTTACAAATTTAATGTGATGCCATCCATAGCATCAGAGCGTCTACCTTAGTAGTTTTTACATGATAAAACACATTACCCCATCCTTTTCTTCTTATTACTACGAAAATACACCGATTTGCGATTTTCGACACATTAGCGCACAAAAAGAACGCTGACAGTATACTAAGTAAAGCCACGCCCACTGTGATAACGTCAGGACCTAGTTAGAATCACAGTGCACAGTTGCTTAGGCCGTCTCCTCTTTGTATTTGCTCCGTGGGTAACACTTACAATCGAACTGTAAATATTGCAGTAATATCTTTTGGCATTGTCATATTTAGGGTTAATTCCAGAAGGGCCTAACCCCTAAAAAGCTATTTGTCTATAGGATAAGGATGACAAACGAGCACACAGTCCACCTGATGATAAGTGGATGCTGTGACCCATAGACATCTACATCTATCCTTGATTAAGAATCAAAATGCAGTAGCGTTGTCACCCCTAGGGACTTGGATGGAATGCATAGTTTCCTGTGTTAATGTGTTATTTGTCATGGGTATCATTGCACGATGCTTTTCACTTTTGAATATTTAATACACATATGATTATGGTTTTTTTATAATGTGCAATCAATTTTAAAAATATTAATTTTGCTTCTATTGACAATATCGTAATGAATATTTGTACACCACACTGTGGTAGAATACACGATACCTAATGTAAATTTTACGAACACCTAACTTACTGTATTCACAAATAAATAAATGAATTTGAATTTGAATTTGAATTTCCAGTAAAAAGGGTCTCCGGTTCTCTACACTCACCATACCTTTGTATGGTGAGTGTAGAGAACCGGAAGCCTATGCTTTCATAGCAGCATTAAGCTGCTATTTCACGCTGGTATTCTGTGAGAACGTGGTCCTTCCCGGTTAAGCCGACCCATTCGTGCTACAATTATAGTATAGCTGCAGCGTGGCTCTACCACGTAATATGTCATGATATTCGATTTTAAAAATGAGGTAATGACTTTTACTACATATTGACGACGTAAGAGAAATACACCACCACCCCCTTTCCTCCTGTAAGGGATGGTCGATTGGACAGACGATATCCAGATCGGCGAAAGAAAGCAACGCTAAGTAGCATCATCGGAAGGATATTTGCCATGGTGGCCATAATTGGCCGGTTCTTTGACAACCGCAGTTTTTTATTTTTAGTTGTTATTAGTAACACGTTGCTGCCCATCTCCTGATTTGTTTTCCTCTGTCGCCTCTTACGACAACCACGGGATGATATGGAGTAGTGGATATTCTTACACCGCCACTACGTGGTAATATACCTACGGCGATTTACTATAGCGAAATTCAATTATACTTTGCGTGACTTTGCTTTGTGCGAAGCCTTAAAAATCTCCTCTTAGTGATGACAACGTATTTGTTTCTTTAGTTAGTTACAGGTGTTCATAGGCCACAGTAGAAACTTACCACCAGGTCGACTTTAAGTTCCTACGTTACTTCAGTTTTATATTAACTACTGGGTCCTTCGAGATGTCACTCGTAAAGAGTGTACAGAAGAGTGGGCAGAGGACGGTGCCCTGTGGGAGTCTAGTTTAAAAACAACGGGAGGAGACCCTGTCAAACAGTGCATATTACAGGTCTCGTTAGTTTAGTGGTCGTTAACGGTACTCTTGATCTTGAGGTACTGAATTCGAATCCCCGTTCAGACCAAAAAAATCAGTTAATAAGTTTATTTATCAAGAAACTCTCACTATCAGCCCGGAGACAGAAAGGTCCGGAAAGCACGTAAGCATGTCCAGCGCTTGATCTCTCTCAGGTCGTGTCGGTCTACCGTCCCATCGCACTATGAGAGTGAGGCAATAGAGTGCACCTGTGCTTGCACACACTCGTGCACTATAAGCCTGTGCTGTGCAGATGGCTAGTCTCCGTTGAGACTGGCCGCAGTGACCGAAACTCGGTCTAGTCTCTAGACTAAAGAAAACTTCTGATGAGAAGTTTTCTTTATTAGTTCATGTGTGTAGTGCGTTCTCTATTACAAATTACATGAGACCATCTCCTAACCTCTGTAAATCGGCAGCTCCAAAGTCTGGAACAGTTAGTTACCCTATCGTATGTTTCCTTCGCACATTCAGGCGAGGCATGGGCACCGTAAGCGTCGAGCATAGAAAATTCTCTAGACCGAAGCAAGCCGTGCTTCGGACGAGGTTCGTCTCTGTATTTGTTGCTGAGCTGTTGAATTAATTATTGATTTTACATTAGTAACAGTTAATGTACAGTAAATTTGATTCTCAATCAATCTCTGGTGGTACGTATAATTTAAAATAAAAAAATTTGTACAACCGACTTCAATATAAATTATTAAGAATTACTCAAAAACTATTGGACAGACTTTGATCAATGGGACCACATGAGAAGCACCAGCTTTCTTAAAGGATAATCATCGAAATCCGTTCACCTAGAAAAAAGTTATGAGGTCACACACATAAAAAAACATACAGTCGAATTGAGTACCTCCTCCTTTTTGAAGTCGATAGAAAATAGACGCTAGATGGCCTAAATATGACTAATTTTATATAAATCGGTAAGTTACGAAATCATGGATTGTTATGAATGGATACGATATGATAATTTTATTCATTGTTCATATGGTTAATTTTATTTATTAAATTTGTTGTATTAGTAAATTTATTGATATTGTTAACAGTGGTAGAGCTACGCGGCAGCTTTTGCTGTCGCACGGATGGGCCGGCTCGAACCGGGGTGGTACCACGACCTCACAGAAAATCAGCGTGAAGTAGAGGTTTACCTCTGCGTTTCGCTTGGTGAGTGCAGGTGGCCGGAGGCCCTTTTTACTGGAAATGAGGCATTCCATCTTAGTCCTCACGGGTGACAACGCATCTACATTTTGATTTGTAACAGAGGATAGATGTAGATGTCTATGGGCCGCAGCAACCACTTACCATCAGGTGGACTGTGTGCTCGTTTGTCACCCTTATCCTATAAAAAAAATGAATTTGTTAATTTTTTAAACTGTTTATTTTAACAATTAAAACTTAACACCGAAACACCGAGATAATATGAAACATACACTGTATTCTCTCTGTTATTCTCATTCTCCCGCAGACTAAATCCGTGGTACGCTAATTACGTGGTTGGGCATCACAGAACTCACATAGTAGTGGAAATATGGTCAATCATAGTCAGAATAGGTACTTTACCTAAGTAACTTACCATTTCACAATGTATTTTCTTACTCTTTATTAACAGCCCTTAGTAATCACGGAAAGTCCGTTGTGACGTAGTAAGGAGAAAAGATGCAAAGTAATACGGACACTCGCGCGCAGCGATAAAGTTTTATTTAGCTTGCGTGCGCGATCTATCTGATTAATAATAACTATGTAGGCTATTAAAACGTCGGCAAGCGGTCAACATCAAAGGAGTGCAACTTGTGTATGTAGTACTATTATTTATTCTGTGCTACAGCCATGATATAGCTGCGGCGTGGCTCTACCACGTGAAGAATCTAAACGAAACAAATGCGGGTCACTAGTCAAGAATAAAGCTAATAAACTTAAAGGAAAAACTACTTACTTACTTGATAGAGTAACGAGTTGAATGTGAATTCAAGAAAAACAACTTCCTTCTGCGTGAATCCCATATCTCTGGTGCCCTTTGACCTACAGGACCCAAATTCAAACTCGACCGAGCTACTACCTCAAGGTATCCACATACCAAATTTAAAGTCAATCGATCCAGTGGAACGGAAGTTATCGTGTCGGCATATAGACTAACAGACTGCCAGCTAAAACCATTAACTTCCTTTCAATGCTACGCAGAAGGAAGTTAATAAAGGCAATTGCTTGTAGGAGAGTGGTCCAACATCTGCCAGCAGATCTGCTACAGCTTCTTTGTGCGTCTAAAATAGAAATTGATAATAATTATATAGCCATTTATTCCCGAGGTTTAGTGTTGTTTATTATTCTGTTTAAGGTGAAAGCACCAGGGTAGCCCGTGAAATTCAAATTTTCTTACGTTTTTTTGCAATTTGCAGGTCAATGTCAGGTTGTATGTTTAACAGAATATGATTCTCGACCGTAGCGAGTAGGTGTTTACAGAATTATAATCATTATAATCATCAATACAACCCTATCATAAAAATTTGAATTTCTATGAACCACAATGTAGATGTCTATGAACTAGTCCACAGAATTAGTAATTCATTTATGGGGCAATGTATACACTTTTACAACAAAATCCCAGAACAAAGTGTGTTCAAAGTTTGTCCATAAACAAGTTTAAAAGTTTTATTAAAGAAAAACTGTACAAAAAGGGTTATTATAATATCAAGGAATACATGAATGAAAATAACCCCTGGGAATAAGGTGATCGCCACCATGCTGGTTCTATGAAAATTAATTTAAAATGGTATAAACAAAATTATTGTTAAGTGAAATTATGTTTTTTTTAAAAGTCCCGCTGGGTTTCTTGCTTCTTCCCAGTACTTATTTCCAATACGTATTTTCCGAACCAGTGGTAAATAAAAAAATTACTTTCTATAAGTATTATGTATAGTCAATATTGAATAAAAATAATTTTATTCTATTCTATTCTATGAACCACAGTACCCACTTACCATCAGGTGGACTGTGTGCTTGTTTATCACTCTAAAAAAACTAACCCATGATTTAATTTTCATGCTGATATCTGCTAATTATTTTCACATCTTAATTATATCTTAAAAAGTTATAAAAATAATAACTTACTGGTGACAAGATGTATTTCTTCCCATGCCGATCTTCAACCTTCATTAACTCCGCCCCAACATCCTGCAACCTTCCAGTCTTTTCCTACAACCTTGCCACTGTCAGCGAAGGCAGTGACATTCTCTGAGCACCGGCTTCCTCTATACAGCGGATCACGAGAGCCTCCTGCTTATTGAGGACTCTCCGAGCCAGAGGCAGTATAGTGAATAGACCAGAACCTGTCGGTCTGACTAGGCCACATTCTAGTAGCAGCTGAAATGTAAAGATTGTAGATTTATTTGATTGCATTAATATTTAAAACAAGCACAAGCATGTATGCATAACGTTCGTTCAGAGGTACGTAGACAGACAATTCACTAATCAACACGCTCAGCTTTGGAAAAATCTAGTAGACTGTAGACAAGCTAGGGAGGCCCTGCCTGAAATAAACAGTTGTTTAACCAAAGTTCTAATGAGACCGAACAAGCCGCAGATCAGGATAGTAACAAATGCTATCACAGGACACAGCACCTTTATAACAAACATTTATTTACCATAGGTGTTACAGATCCCCTATGCAGGGCATGTATGGGGGAGGAAGAAACAGTGGTCCACGTGCTACTGAAATGTCCAGAGGTCACTACATACAGGGCTAAACATCTCGGCACGCCGGGATCACTCCCCGAAGAAGCGCAACATCAAAGGATTGTTGAGCTTCTTCAGGGAGATCTCATGGCTTGAATAATTACATTATTCCTGCCCACACACAAAATACGCGCATAGACGTGCAGTTGTGGAAAACAGCCTGTGGTTGAAATTTAGAATCGTTTGGCAGGAGGAGGGGGCAGGAGTTGAGGGGAGGGGAAGGAGGGGAGCGTCCCCTTACTCCCGACACCACTCCCATTAAAAGGTAATACACCGTTCTTGAGAAAAATCAAAAAGAAAATCGCATAGACCTAACCTGAAAGTAACATTTACGAGAGCGGCACTGAACATTTCGGGAATCAAGGAAGTGACACAACATTACTATTTAAAAATGTATTTATTGCTTTTCGAAGTATTCTCCGCGAAATTTGACACATTTTTCCATACGATGGAACCAATCATTGAAGCAACCATTCGAAGTTGGGGTCTCCAAAATGGCCGTTTTATAGGCGTCCACAGCTTCTTCAGGTGATGAAAATCTCTGTCCACGCAATTTATTCTTTATTTTAGGTAAAGTATAGAAATCATTAGGGCTTAGGTCGGGGCTGTACGGCGGATGGTCTAATAATTCTATGTTTTCTTGCTCTAAAAACTATTTTGTTCTGTGTGCGGTGTGAGAACTCGCATTGTCGTGATGGAGGATGATGCGGCGGTTGCAGTTCTCTTTACGGAGTTCAGAAACGACCTGTGGCAAACAAATGCTAGCATACCATTCTGCATTAACCGTTCTTTGTCCCTCAAGAGGAATAGTCGTAACATAGCCGGTTTTGGAGACAAACGTGGCCACCATTTTTTTTGCAACACTCCGTGAACGTGAAACGAACAAACTCGTGACGTATATCCAGGATTCGTCACCTGATACGATGTTGTATACAGCATTTGAGGATCCTGCGTGGAATCTTTCGAGAGTTCTGACGCACCAAGTAACGCGAGCCGCTTTTTATATATATATATATAGATAAATTGTGGTTTTGGATAGGGCTTCATCACCAAATGCAGAAATCATCCGGTCAACACACTGTTTTTGTGTTAAACCACTTCGAAAGTCATAATAAATCATCGCTCTTGAATTTTCTCGAGTCAATTCCATTTTCTCAAGGACTAAACAAGTTTGACAAAACCTTGTGACAAGACCGAGAATCTTTTTTTAGATAAATAAATGGTATTCGATTTTTAAAACCAAGGAGTTTTCAATTAAAAATATTTTAATATGACAGGAACAGTGGAAATATTCCATTCCCGATACTTTTAGTGCAGCCTATGTATCGTCTCCGGCAGGAGGGGGGAAGAGGGTAGCAGGAGTGTGCCCTATCAGGTAAAGCCACTCTATCTTTCCCTCGTTGCGGAAAAGTATAGTTTATGAGTAATGCTTTTTTTTTTGCAAAATCATAACCTCACTTTTTTACACAGGAATATTGAGCCAAAGTTACTTCTACAACGGCTTCGGCGCTGCGGGAAGTGCAGCCCCTTCGCCCTTGCGTAGCGAATCACAGGCACCCATGCTCACGTCCACAGATTCGGCTTATTGGTCGCCTTCAGCGACCAGCCTCCAGCCGCTACGGCGGGCGGGGGCTGCTCTCCCTTCGCCCCTACGACTTTACATAAACACTCTAGGAGTAGGGCAGACAAGACTACGTGAAGTCGGGGCGTGCTGGTTTAATTTTAGTACAGATTCGATCAGAACAGATATCTTACCTATAAAATCAGGTTGCCTTCGCCTATTACAACTGAAATTATTTATTTATTTATTTTTTTAGTTGTACATATGGCGGACTTAATGCCATAGGGCATTCTCTCCCAGTCAACCATTACTAACAAACCAACAACTGAAATTATTTCTGGGCAGTTTTAAACAATTCAGAAATAAAACAGTATATTGTAATCATTTCTTTATTGTCTGTAAACATAATTGTTTTTTATTAATTCCTCAAAAGGATCTCTTTTATTACTTATAATTTCTCTTCTCCATAAATATTCATATATCAAGTCGGTAAAATTTTCTCTATTATTATAATTGTCTTTAGCGAAATATCTCTTGACAGAGATTATAGACAGTAGAAAATGTGACACTAGTCTTACGTCCTTGTCGCACTTACACAAAATTCTGTATGCTATCCAGCTTTCACAGTAATTTTTCCATGTTTTATGCATTTTAGGTTATAATAGTTTTTATTTATTTTTTCGCTAACAGTGCATTACCTTTTAATGTGAGTGGTATTATTATAATCGGGGACCAAATCTCTACCAAATAAAATACCTTACTCCGCCAAATTCCAAACGATTCTAAATCCAACCCCAGCCTGTCGTAAACTAAACTAGACTTATGCCCGGTTTCTGAAGTTCCTAGTTATCTTCCCATTAGCTATTGATTCAATAAAGTTATCTATAGGATAAACATCAGTTAACTGTCACTGCGTTTCTGAATACGCAACGAATCGTTCAACAACTATGTAACCATTAACAAGTACCATAATTTGCTGCTAGATGGGTCTGTTTAAGACATCGAGTTTAAAATTGATTTTTTAATTTCAATTCTTAATTTATACTAGTATTATTTATAAAATATAGTTTTTTGAGGCTAAATAAGAGGATATGCACTGTTTTAGTAATATAATAATTCCATATTTATCAGAGACTGTATGAATGACATCATTGTATTGTCAAATTGTTAAAAAAGAAAACATCAAAGCATCAAACTTATTGCTTTTCCTATTTCGAATGTGGTTTTATTTTTCATAACTTTCTGATTTTAAGTTTAGTAGTATTTACTATCGTTTTTGCATTATCCAAAACATTATGGAATCTGGAAAACGCTGTAAAAATTTTTCTGAAAGAGAGAAGATGCTGCTTATTGAAGTAGCCAAAGAATTTGTGGCTATAATAGATAACAAAAAGACGGACGGGACCACTGTAGAGGCCAAGAAGCAAGCTTGGATGGCGCTTACAAACAAATATAATGCTCTCTCTGAAACGGGAATTAGGACTGAGAAGCAATTACATGCATTGTACGACAACTTAAAGAAAAAAGCTAGAAAAAATTTAAGCAATGATAAGGTAGGTCATAACCTGCTTATTTGTGTTTGAATAAGCATTTTAAATGTACGAAGTGCGAAGGAACTTTACTGTACAAGCTGTAAGATCACATGATACTAATAATATACATCTATAATGATGTATATTATTAGTATATATGATTATACAACCTACTTCATAGGCACAGTTATTGCCTTGGAGTATTTACAATAACAATTGATTCCCATATAAAGTTATGCAGTGGTTATCAGACAAGTATATAATGTAGAATGTTAAATTTTTATTTCAGTCCGAGATGTACAAGACAGGAGGTGGAACATTTTGTCCTAAGACAACTAACCATTTGCCAAGCATTTTGCCAAACCATTGCCTAATTATTTTGACTCGTCAGCACCATATTATAACATAGGTATGTAAGTTCAGTGTTTTTCTAACATTATATTACATCAGAATTTAGCATTTTTGAGCATGCTTTTAACTGATGTTTTGGTTAAATTCTTATATAAACTGTTTCAGCATAGGGCTATACATAACCTCTGAGCAATTGAAGTATTAATGTAAATTTGCAGTGAAAAATTAGTTAAATTTTAATCAAACTCACTTATAATTTCATCTGAAATAAAATAATGATAATGAAACAAAATATAATTAAATAATCATTTATTTAATGTGTTTTAAGTACCCATGCAAAAATTTCTAGTGCTGTAGTTAAATTACAAACTTGTCTGTACAATCATCAGCTTAAATTACATATTACACAATAGTGACTGATTTTTGCAATTTATTCATTACAGATATTGTTGAAACACAATTATATTAAATAATACACAGGGTTCTTCTGAAGACAAATGCATAGTATTGGGTGCAAAAGAAGATTCTGTGCATGAAATCCTTTTAAGTCCTCAACAAGTTGAAGGTTGCAAAAGAAAAGTTTCACCTCTTCTGAAAGATGTTGAAAGCACACTGTTCGCGACGGTTTAAAGACTTTAAGCAAAAAGTGATTAAAGAATATTAAAGTGTTTTAAAAAGTGAAATTAGCGACAAAATCGAACTAATTGTGTTTTAATATAGTTTTACAGTATGTTTACAACTCGTAATATATTTGTATAAAGTATCGTTTTAATAATAAGTTGATATAAACGACTTTAAACATTAAATAAAATTTCGACCAATCACAGCGCAGCATATCGTGGAACTTTCTAGAAGTTAATTAACTGCGCAATAGTTTATATGAAAATAATGAGAATATTTTTATGTTCTGAAAGAATTGTAAATACGATATTTAGTTAGCATATGGTATATAGATTGAAATAAGTAAATAGATAATTTATGTAAATAAACGCATTTGAGAAATATAGTAAAATTAAAGATTTAATGTGCACTTTTGTTATGTAAATTAGGTACATTTTGATTAATAACTTTTTTGAATGTAAATATATCAAGTAACCCTTATCACATAATGATAAAGGACCAAAATGCCTATTTTAAAGTGTATAGCGTGTTAATGTAAAAATTAGCATTATATAGAAAAATTGCGATTTGTGCAAATTACGTAATGAAAATGTTTGATAATAAAAGGGCAAAACCGGAAATTGGCAAGCGGCTCTCTATAGAGTATAGCCGAAGTCTACCTTATGGGGGCAAATCACAGTAACATTGTAGTAGGAAGAACTACCAGTAACAAGCAGTAGTATCCGGTAGTAGCTGAAGTGACTAGTAGCAGAACACAGTGAAAAGTTATAGTGAAATAGAAAAAGTTTAGCTAGCCGAAAAAGGTCGTAACTGAAAAATCGCAGTTACACATAGTCGAAAAAAGTGGCAACTAAAAATTCTCAGTTGCATATAGTAAAATAGTGTTAGCTAGCTAAAAAGAGTGGTAACTGATATTCGCAGTTACATATAGTGAAAAAGTGTTAGCTAGCCGAATAAAGTGGTAACGGAAATTTCGCCGTTACATATAGTGAAAAGTGTTAGCTAGACGGAAAAAGTGGTAACTGATATTCGCAGTTACAAAAGTGTTAAATTCAACTAATTTTAGTTGATTAATAGCTGCTAGTCAGTAGTGTTAGAAAACCAGCTGCTACCAATAGAAATTTTGGATACTACCAATAGAAATTTGTTACTTTCAATAGATATTTAAAATTACCAATAGAAATAGTAGAAAATACCAATAGAAACTTGATACTGCCAATAGAAATTTGATATTACCAACAGATATTTTGAAAATACGAATAGAAATTTTAAAAAACCAATAGAAATTTTAATATTACTGTGTGTTTAATTAAATCTGTGTTTTAAAATATATAGTGAACAATCATAGTTGAAAAACAGTGTTAAATAAATAAATAAGTTATAATATTTCGTAACTAATTAATCAGTCGAACCGCTGGCCACTCCCTTGCTATTTTAATTTATAAATCGTGCATTTTTAATTCTGAACCTCAGTCCACAGTTCTCCAACAGCATATACAAAGGCGGTAGTGAAAGTATCCACCGGAACCTATAGGTGTAGGACGTGAGCGGCTCGCGGAGTATCTTCGACAACATTTACTCCGGAGAGTTACGCCCGTCCGGCACACACACCAAAAAAGAAGATTTGTTTAACTGAAACAAAAAAAAGAACATAAATAACATCAGTGCTTCAATAATAAAAAGAAAAAACCAAAAGCAAATGAATGAAGATGCCATAACAACCAAAAGATTAGAAATATTGGAGATTCAACTTCAACATGAACATATGAAAATAGAAAAAACAAAAATATTACTGGATCTTGATATTGAGTTAAAGAGGAATCTTTTAGAAAATGCAAAAATGGACTTAGAATTAAAAAAGAAGAATTTTAATTTATAATGTAGACATACAATATTAAAATGCTTATTTTATATTCTAAGTCCATTTTTGCATTTTGTAAAAGATTTTCTTTAACTCTATATCAAAATCCAGTAACATTTTTTGTTTTTCTTATTTGATAATGTTGATGTTGAATCTCCAAGATTTGTGTTTTGGTTTTTATTAATTAAAATTCTTGTTTATAAATTCTATTCACTATATTTTTTGTTTTTCTTATTTGATAATTTCATATTGATGTTGAATCTCCAAGATTTGTGATGTTTTGGTTTTTATTAATTAAAATTCTTGTTTATAAATTCTATTCACTATATTTTTTGTTTTTCATATTGATTTGAATCTCCAAGATTTGTAATGTTTTGGTTTTTATTAATTAAAATTCTTGTTTATATATTCTATTTACTATATTTTCACTTTACAAATACAAATAAAATATATATACTCAAATTTGTTTTTATTAACATATTACTTTATTGATACATGATAGAGCCACGCTGCAGCTATATTATAGTTGTAGCATGAATAGGTCAGTTCGACTGGGGATAGACCATGCTCTCACTGAAGACCAGTATGAATTAACAGCTTAATGCTGCTGTTTCGTATGGTGAGTGACACAAGCAGAGATCGTTTAGGCATTCCATCTTACTCCTCAATGATGACAATGCATCTGCATTTTGAGGATAGATGTAGACACAACTTCTGCATCCACTTACCACCAGATAGACTATATGCTCATTTGTCACCTATTATATTTTCTATAAAAAATAACAAATTTTAACAATTTATACACATTATTGCAAACAATAACCATTGACAGCCTTATTACAATCAAGGCTTTCTTCCAGGAAACTTTTGATGAAACTCTATTTTCCGGGGCCTTATTACATTCAACATTGTGTAAATTTAGCTTAAGAAATATTAACAATAGATAAACTTTACCCACCTAAAATATTGCTCCAACAATAACCGACGAACATGGTTTCCTTCATAGGAAAGAGGTTGTTCAATCAGTTCTGTAACAATATTTTCTTCTGGAGCAGAATCAATCGCCACAGTATCATTTTGCTGTAGAGCTATATTATGTAACACAGCTGTTGCAACAATCACAGCTAATGTGTGATCTAATTTTAGCCTTAATTTTTGAGAAAGGCATGTAAATCTTCTTTTCCATACACCAAATGTCCTTTCAACTGTGTTTCTGGTCTTAATTTGTGCTTCATTGTAGAGTTTTTCTGCATTTGTAGCTGGGTTTAAAAATGGTGTCATCATATACTTTCCACAAGGATATGCACTGTCTCCAGGTGACCATCTATCTCATTGTTATTCAGGCGTGCTCGGAGGAATGAGTTATGATACACTGTACTGTCATGTGTTGATCCATGCCAGCGGGCATCTATGTCACGAATTTGTAACTTTGCATCACATACAACTTGTACATTAATAGAAAAGAAACCTTTTCTATTTCTAAATAGTTCTGCTTGCTCACCTCCAGGAGATTGAATAGGTATGTGCGATCCATCTACACAACCAATTACATTTGGAAATCTTGCAATATTAAAAAATTGTGCCTTTACTTCTCTCAGGTCTACAACGTTTGGCATATTTATGTAACTCCTAAGCTAGCTTTGCTATTTCCTTGCTTACTTTATATACCACTCTGGAAACAGTAGTTTTGTGAACGTTAATGTCATCACCAATTACTATTTGAAAAGTACCGGTAGCATAAAATCGTAATGCTATGAAGATTTGTTCTAACACAGACAATGTATATTTGCGATGCATAATGGGTGCTAGAGCAGAGCTGATGATATCACTTAGGTGTATCACAGTGTTCTTATCAAAGCGATATCTCAATTGGAATTCTTCGTCCGTAAACATTTCGAAAGGATTTCTCCTACGTCTTAAGTTTCTGGGTACTGACATATTAGAAATAAACTTCAGTACTTCCAAATCAGACTCCGAAGAGCTACTCGTATTCATTGCACTTCTATTAATTATTTTATCCCTTGAATTTAAAATAATTAATTATTTTATCCCTTAAATTTTAGTATTTAGCACCCACTGGCAATTTATTTTAATAATAACACGTTATAACCTAAAAGTTGATGTAGTTTGCTTGAAATTAAACGTCAAATAAAGTTATAGAACCGATAAATGGCACATATTGGTCAGTTAAATTAAACTTAGCTTAAACGGAGTTTATCTTACATTGTGATGTTCGGAAACGCACTTTCACAAGTTATCGAACCAATAACGCTAACGAATAGATAAACTGCCGATAAAAGTACCTCAGAAACCGGGCATTAATGTATGCATAGATAAATATGAGAAAGCAGAGAGAGATGTGTATTAGGAAAGTAACAAAAAAAAGGATTGTGCCAATTAAAAGTCTGTAGTGCCTGTCTACCCCTCCGGGTAAGTGGCATAAGAGTTTATATTATATTGTATGTTACCATTTGTGTTACAGCCTATTAAAGTCCACTGAAAAATGTAGACTGTCATAAATTGTCTCATAGGGATGATATTTGCCAGAGTTCCCACGCCTGGTAAGCAGATTGGGAACTGCAGTTTTTATTTTCGTTATTAGGAAGACGTCCCTCTGTCGTCTCTTACGACATCCACAGAATGATATGGGGTAATGGATATTCTTACACCGTCACTGCACAGTTATACCGGATGTTATTTGAAAATAATTGTTTAACTTTTGCAGCTAGTCTAGTTTAGAAAACCGCTCTATAGAGCTACTCAAACAAATTATGGTATTATACTAACATGTCAATATTTATAATCTTTTATAATTTATTCATTCATTGAATACGGCCTATTAAAAGTCCACTGCTAAATATAGGCCTCCCGTATAGATTGCCAGATAGATATTTATTATAATAGCCACAAATCAATTGCAGACTATCAAATTAATTAATAATTTAATACTAATGATAAATAAATTTTTACCATTACGAAAAACTTATCCATTAATTAAAATTATTAATGGATCATTAATTGATTTATCCAATAGGGTTACAAGCTGTTGCACAATTTCTTGTGAAGTAAGATTATGTAGCTTCAATTATATTACCAAAAATTGTTTTTATTATAGATTTTAATTTAATAATGTATAGTTCTAATAATCCTTTAGGAATTAATAGGAACTTAGATAAAATTCCCTTTTATCCATTTTTTACTTTCAAAGATTAAAATGGATTTTCACAGTGGTAGAGCCACGCGGCAGCTTTTGCTGTCGCACGGATGGGCCGGCTCGAACCGGGGTGGTACCACGACCTCACAGAATACCAGCGTGAAGTAGAGGTTTACCTCTGCGTTTCGCTTGGTGAGTGCAGGTGGCCGGAGGCCCTTTTTACTGGAAATGAGGCATTCCATCTTAGTCCTCACGGGTGACAACGCATCTGCATTTTGATTCGCAAACGAGGATAGATGTAGATGTCTATGGGCCGCAGCAACCACTTACCATCAGGTGGACTGTGTGCTCGTTTGTCACCCTTATCCTATAAAAAAAAAAAAAAAAAAAAATTATTATTATATTAATATTATTAATTATATTAACATTAACTGCCATTATTTTTACAAATTCAATTAGTCACATTCTAGAAATTTAATTTAAAAAGATCAGGGGGGCCACAATATTAACATAAGCATTCAAAGCTTACTTGGAGGTGTTAACGACCGCATTAGTAATGGTAATAAGGTTACTATAATTATTATATAGTTATAATAATTTTTTTTCATATAATGGGCTGCAGTTACCACACAACCACACATATACAAAAATTAGAGAGGTCTGTGCTATGCAGCTGAATGTAAAACAATTCGCCACACCCAAATTATTTAACAATATTTTGTAAAGGGAAATCTTATTTTTAAGAAACGACCAAAAACTTACCTTCTGGCTTTTACATGTTATTTCGGTGTTTTTAATAATAGCGTCCTTTGGTATTGTATGCACTGTTTGAAAAATCTGGGATAGGTATCGCATTTTTTGGAAATTGCTGATAGTTAATATCAATAATAGAAAAAGCAATCGTGTACAATAATATCAAAATATATTAATTTAAATTTATACTGATTTTACATTTGTTTTTGTACGCAACGTGAATTTCAGGTTATAAAGAGAATCAGCTGATGGCTGCTGCTGATTGTCATTTGTCAGATTGTCAGTTGTCACTTCGTTAGTGTCAGTTCGATTCAATAACACATTTCGTTTACATCGTAGATAGATACTATGTCTATGGTTTACATAAATTGTGATGAAAATAAAAATTTAACCCTTCAAAACCCGAAAAATCCAAATGGATTTATTACTAAGAACCCCTCCAAAGAGTATATAATAATTTAATTTAATTAAGGGACCCCTTAGAACAATAGATAAAGAGTATTCAGAACTTAGAGTACAAATAAGCAAGGTATAGAGCGCGCGTATCGCTCAATGCCCATTATGCCAAGCGTAAAATTGACGCCTATGCGTTATTATATTTAAGTTATTAATTTGATTATGTAAGTATTTGTAAATAAAGCGATAATTATAAGGTATGTTTTAGCTCAATAAAACATAGGTACGAATTTATGAAACGATGTTTATTAATCAAACACAAAAATCTAATTAATTTACTCTCCCGTTAAAAACCATATTATACAGGGTTAGTGGGAACTCGACAACTTCCTGGCATAGCATGAATTCACTCTTAATCTCTAGGTCAGAATAAAATAAAATACACACAATTATTTGTAGGAAAATATTCCATTATCAATTGCTGTATTTGTTTAATGGTAACTAAATTAGTCAGTACAAAGATAAATATTTTGATTTATGTTTATTTTTGTACTCTTATCGGTATTTTTGCATAATATGTCCGTTCGTACCTGCTATCATAGTTCGCTGTCATGGACGTTGGACATCAATACAATTTTCTAGAAATAAAATTAGTTATTCATGTAACTTATATCTACCTTGTACGGTACACTGACTGATCATCTAGGTTGGGTGAAATTCTTACATTTCAGAAAAAAATATTAGAAAGGTTAAAAAACAACCTGAGCTAAGACAAAACGCCGTTATCACTTCGCTGTTTTGTTTACATCTAAACGTGTCGTTGGTCGGGATGAATGACCCGATTGGTCATTATCAGCTCCGAACACTGATATATAAACCGAAGGATGTTTTTTCACAGATGATTTTTTAAATTGGCGGTGGACGACTTATAACTTAATACATCTTTACATTCATTACACGTTGCTTAAAAGTTTTATTGTCTTATTCAAAATGGTGCCATATCACTCTACAGTTTTTACGGGCCGACGCCAACATAGTTAATATTTACACTATTTGACCACTTAAATACCTAAGTACCACTATTCCTGTTTATACTATTCACTATTAACACTTAGAACTTAATACTATGAATAATAATATTTTAGTTAATCTCTCAATTTAGAAAACTACTAAATACGTTTAATTTGAACTATGCAAAGCGCATTTCAATGGAGACTAAAAAAATAATGTCAACAAAATTCAAAAATCTGGCTACATAATTATATTGACATGCATATTTCATATCTATAAGCATTTTAATAGAGCTTACTTTTACAAAACACCGCCCACTTCGAGAGTCGAACACGTGCAGAAAGAGAGAGATAGCCGTCGAAACAAGCAGTGTGAAGAAAACGGAATGTTCACACACATCTGTTATCATAGTCACAAAATTAAATTTACCGATAGACAAGGACAGAGATAGGAAACGTCGTAGTTGTGCGAGCGAAATCGCGTTATGTAATTGCGTATCGTGTCTCTCGCGCATATTTGTATTATCTATCTCGCTCTCACAAGGCGAAGTCAACAACAAACATCATTATAATTTTCAACAAAATAAAATTTTTAGCTATAATTATGAGTGGTAAGTAATCCCGTGTATCTTATTTTTATTTCTTGAATTATTAGAACACTGTTTAGCTGCACAAGAAGTCATTCAGAGTCTTTTTTTATGTCAACTCTCAATTCCTTTAGTAGTTTCTCTATTTCTGACATTTTGGTTTGGACCTTATATAACTGTATCAACAACTCAAAACAACCGTTCTGCAGCGTCCGTACAGTTAACGCCCTCTACGGAAACTCCACTGTACTAATTAATACATATCTCCGCTAACTCAATAACTAACTAATCGAAAAATCGATTGATGTCTTTGAGCGTGGCAAGTGGTTTTGATGATTGAAAATAGATGTCGCTGTTATTGCGCAGACACGGGTCTTGTTGGATGACAAAGCAAAAATAACTTTGTTGTTATAGGTTATAAACATGTGTTTTTTTTTCACTAATAATATTATATTATTATTTTTTTTATATTATTATTTATATTGGGATAAGAAACAGAAACAGAAACTTTTCTATTCAATATAGATTATAAATAATACTTATTGAAAGTCACTCTTTTGTTTGATTACCACTGGTTCGGAAAAACCTCTGTCCTGGGAAGAACCAGCAAGAAACCCAGCGGGACTTTTTTTTTTAAATAACAGCTTACAATTATGATGTTACACAAATTAACAACACAACAAATTAGAAATAGCTTGGTAGCGATCACCTCATTTCCAGAGGTTATTATCATCCATAAATTCCTTAATATTATAATAACCCTTTTTATACAAACTTAGTTTAATAAAGTTTTTGAACTTTGAGCAGGTTAAACTTTGTATATTTTCTGGAATTTTGTTGTAAAAGCGTATACATCGCCCCAAGAATGAATTACTGACTCGATGGAGTTGAGTGACTGGTACTACTAGCTTGTGTCTGTTTCTAGTATTTACAGAATGAATATCACTTATTTTTGTAAAACTACTTTTATTTTTGTGTACGTACATTACATTTTCATAAATGTATTGAGAGGCCAAAGTTAATATATTAATTTCCTTAAATTTTTGTCGCAGCGACTCTTTAGGCTTTAAATCATAAATTGCTCTTATGGCCCTTTTCTGTAAAACAAATATAATTTCAGTGTCAGCTGCGTGTCCCCATAGCAAAATACCATACGACATTATGCTATGGAAGTAGCTGAAGTAAACTAGTCTAGCTGTTTCAACACTGGTAAGACTTCTAATCTTTTTACAGCATATGCTGCAGAACTAAGTCTGCTTGCTAGTTTTGATATATGGGGGCTCCATTGATGCTTCGTGTCTAGTGTGATTCCAAGAAAAATGGTGGTATCTACAAGACTCAGTTTCTCCCCATTTAAAATTACATTAGTAGTTAATTGTTTGACATTTGGAGTCATGAATTTCATACATTTCGTTTTATTGCCATTTAAATGCAAATTATTAACATTGAACCAATTTACTAATTTACATATAGCATTATTTACTTCGTCATATTTTAGTAATTGCCGACTTAATTTGAAAATTAAAGAAGTATCATCTGCAAATAATACTATATCATGGTTATCCCCTACTATGTAAGGTAAGTCATTAATGTATACAGAAAGGGGCCGAGAATTGAGCCTTGAGGCACGCCCATTTGTACCATCGATACGGAAGAGCTCATATTGTTAATGACAACTTTTTGCGTTCTCTTACTTAAATATGAAATAATTAATTTAAGAGCATCACTTCTTACACCGTAGTGTTGAAGTTTCCTGATTAATGTTTCATGGTGAATTCAATCGAAGGTCTTGGATAGGTCACAAAATATACCCAAAGCATCCTGTGAATTCTCCCATGCATTAAAGATATATTTAATCAGCTCAACACCGGCATCAGTTGTCGAGCGACCCCTTGTGAAACCAAATTGATTTTTATGAAGTAAATTATTTATATTAAAAAAAATTAACATTTGATCAAGAACAATTTTTTCAAAAATCTTACTAAGTGTTGGCAGTACAGAAATAGGTCTAAAATTGGCGGGGTCTAATGTACTACCAGATTTAAATAAAGGTATTACTTTACTATGCTTCATTAAATCGGGAAACACACCAGATTTTTTTTTTTATAGGATAAGAGTGACAAACGAGCACACAGTCCGCCTGATGGTAAGTGGTTTCTGCGGCCCATAGACATCTACATACATCCTCTCTTACAAATCAAAATGTAGATGCGTTGTCACCCGTGAGGACTATGATGGAATGCCTCATTTCCAGTAAAAAGGGCCTCCGGCCACCTGCACTCACCAAGCGAAACGCAGAGGTAAACCTCTACTTCACGCTGGTATTCTGTGAGGTCGTGGTACCACCCCGGTTCGAGCTGGCCCATCCGTGCGACAGCAAAAGCTGCCGCGTGGCTCTACCACTGTTTATATTCGATTACTTAGATTCGATACTATTATTCGATATAACTTAGATCGATTATTTAGATTCGATACTAGTATTAAAAATAATAGCTAAATGAGGCGCGATTGTATCTATTATAGACGCAATAACTTTAACGGAAATCCCCCACAGATCCGCAGTTTTCTTAACTTCAATAGTCTTAAAATATTTTACAATATCTTTTGATGACACTTTGTGAAATGTAAAATTCTTTGTACACGCATTTACATTTTGTTTAAGTAATGATTCGGCGACGGTAGGAGAAGAATTCAGTGACTTAGTGGTCAAGATCGGAATATCAGTAAAATATTTCTCAAAAACCATTGCTACTTCCTGATCTGATACAGTTAATTTGTTGTTAACACTTAACTGGTAATTTGAATTGCGAGAGTTGATCTTACCAGTTTCGCTATTAATTATACTCCATGTCATTTTAATTTTATTGGAAGCCGTCTTAATTTTGTTGCTCAAATGCAAAGACTTGGCTATGGAGCACACTCTTTTAAATATTTTTGAATATTTTTTTACATATTCCCTAAATTCGACGCTATGATTATATGACCTTTCATGGTAAAGATCATATAACCTATGCCTGCTCTTATGCAGGAGCTCCTACTGTCGCCCATTCATTGAATGGCTTCCGATTGTTAAGAACTTAGTAATGACTCTAAGTTATATTTACCTTCATTTAAAAAAAATTGTCTTTGAAGATTGTATGTGGGCAAAAATGGGGACTTTATCCCACTTCTGATGTAGGAAGTATAGTAGGTATAGTACAGAGACTGATTTTGTAGTTAGGAATAATAATTAATTCGTTTACACGAATTAATTATACAACAAGTCGAGGATAAACTAG